TTCCGGTTCAAGCTCTTCAAACAGAGCTTGTCCATATGGAATAAGCTCGTTTCCAAATATATGTTTTTGTAGCCATTCTGGTTTTCTTTCCATGTTACCAACAATATCTTTTGTGAATGGGAAAGCTTTTACCCAATGTTTCAGTCTTGCGTCATTTATTTCTGTAGTTGGTTTTATTTTGTCAAGGAACATGTTTTTCAATACTAACATTTCATTTGGTACTGTCCATTTGAGTTTTCTTAAATATTCATCCCTTCTCGGTTCATTGTCTGCAAAGTAAGTTTTTATGACATTTTGCAAACTTTCGTTTGCAAGGTCATGTACAATAGGTTCTCTTCCTTCTCTCTCCCTAACTTCTTTCTAAACTCTTCACCAAATATACCATCTCTATGGTTCTGTGTAGTTCTTTGAGATAAATGTTTAGAACGTCAGGTGTTATATTTCCATCAGCCATGTTCATTTCATACTGGTCAAAATATCTGCATCTTTCATATCTTTCAATGGCATTAAAGCCGCGCTGAAAATACCAGCTATCTGGTTCACCATTCACTTCCATTGCGTCTACAACTTCTTGGAATTGTGGTTGTAAGTTTATGAACCACCTATCCGGATTAGCTTTATGACCCCATCTCATTGTAGTTCCATAGTCTGCAGAAACAAAAGTAGGTTTGTTTCCATATTGGTAGGTTCTGAATGAACTTTAAACAATGTTTCATTTCTATATGTTTTGTTGAAATTTAACCTTTTATTTTCACCGAGTTCATCCAAAGATTGAACGTTATATGCTCGTAAGTAAAAAGGATTGTTGTATTTGTGTACATTTCTTTCAGTACTTCCATTCTATGCTGGATATTTTCATCTGATGTTGGAGTCTTTTGTATGTCGGCGAACATTTTTCGATATTCTTCTACTATGTCAGCCGAATTTTTCTTAGACTCTTGGAAAGATTCCATATTCCCCGCATACACTTGTTGAGGGTCAAGATTTTTCGGCTGTTCCAAATCTTCATCTAGTTCTGTGAAGTTAGTTTCCAAAGGAGGGACTTGTTCGTTTCCTTCAGGCTCTTCTAGCTGTTGTTGCTGAACTATTTCTTCCATGTCTGGTTGTATCTGAACTTCTTCCTGTGGAGTTTCTTGTACCTCATCTGCTGGCATTTCATATATTCCGAGACCGTTTTTAAAAAGTTCCCTATCTAAGTCATCCGGACTCATAAACCTTTCTTCTTTCGTTCCGTCTCTATTTTTTACGCGTTTCATGAAGAGAGTTGAATTATCATTTAGCTCTGACACCAAATATCTCGGAGTAAATTCAGTCATGTCATTTGGATGATATGCTATTAAATCATATCCCTTAGCGAGCTTGTATTTTCCAGGTTTGAAATTATATCCCATTTGGTGCTGAACCATAAAGCTAAATAGGTTCGGGTCAGTATTTCCTTCCTTGAACTTTCTAATAGCTTCTTTATATCTGTCACTAAAGTCAAGAGTATCTGGGTAACCATAGTCTTCCTTAAGCATTTTTAAGAATTCTTGGTTTCCTTGTTCTCTACTTCTTTTATGTCCTTGCTCTGTTTGTGGTTGTTGTGTGCAGTGTTTTGAACTGTTGGTTGTGGTGCAGTGTTTTGAACTGTTGGTTGTGGTGCAGTGTTTTGAACTGTTGGTTGTGGTGCAGTGTTTTGAACTGTTGGTTGTTGTGCTGGATTTTGAACTGTTGGTTGTTGTGTTGGTTGTTGTGTTGGTTGTTGTGTTGGTTTTGGTGCATGCCTGTGTCTGTGTCCATGTGACGATGTAAATGTTTTAGGTAGTCCTGGTGCAGGTGCTTCTCTTGGAGGGTTTGGTGGTATATAAGTTCCACCAGCTGGCACATATGTTCCATCTGCAGCATAATGTCCTACCTGACTTTTCGTTTTTAAGAAAGCATTTACTAGGTCTGTTTTGGTCTGTTGTAACTCTTTTTCTTGACTTTCCACAACAGTTGCTCTAACGGCGTCATAGGCACTTTGAACTGCCTGTCTCGTTGCTGCATCTGTTATTTTCGTCATATTTTGTGCTACTTCTCTTAACTCTTTGTCGAAACCTTCAGACTTCAGTTTCTTTCCAGATGAGAAGTCGTTCACTAGTTTCACCTTACTATGAAGAGCTTCGAAGGCGTTCTTAAAGTCAGCATTCATTAAAGCTTCATTTGAACTGTCTTCATCCGCTTGTATTTTTGTCCTTATTGACCCTATAAGTTGGGCTGCTTTAGCGTTGGCTTGGGCATCTAACCAGTCATTATTAGCTTTTATATATTCTGCGCTTTTCATTGCCTTTTGCATGGCTGCGTCGTTATTTTTACTTTCTTGTGCTAAGTTTTCATACTGTACGGTTTGGTTTTGCAACTGTAAAAGTTTTTCTGCCTTTACATTTGCTTCAACTTCTTTTTTATACTCATCGCTATCCATATATGTCTTCAGGGCTTTTTGTTTTATTCTTCATCTTTCAGTACTTTATATTGAGTAGTATGGTTTTTCAAATTTATAACATCTTGTTCCATTTTTGCTACTTCTGCTGCTTTTTCTGACACTTTTTTCGCATATTCCTCTGTACTTAGTTCTTTCAGTTGTTCTTCTTTCTTCTTTTTCTCTACGTTTAACTCATTGAGTTTCTTTGTGTGTCTGTCATATTCTAGTTTCTTTTCGTTTTCACTTATTTGTTTCTGTATGTCTATGTTTGACTTTTTGACATCTGTTATTTGATTTTTGAGTGAACTCAAATTCATTTGACTTTGAGGGTTATAAGCTGTTCCGTCTGCAGCTCCACCATAGCCTGCCATTTTCGCTAAAAGTGCCGCTCTTAAACCTCCACTCTGTGCACCAATAACTCGGTTTAAAAGCATAGGGTTGCTTGACATTTGTTGCAACATAGTGGGGTCATTCATATTTGTTGTTGCAACTGTTGTTGTGGTGTCAGTTTTACTATTGGATGTTTCAATGCTCTCTTCCTCTTACGTATATTCTTACGTAGCTTACGTGGCATTTTAAGTGAAGTTAAAAAGCGGTTTTTGACAGATGTTTATATGACACTTTTTGTTCAGCACAAAAAACTACTCGGTCAAAGTGTTGTCAGTTTTGTAAAATAACCGTCCTATCTCATTCTATAAGGGGAAAGGCTTCTCAAAGTATACTTCCTTGGAACGCCTGTAACTTTTCCTGTAGCGACGATAGACCCTTACTTGTCCGGACAAAGTTATACTATTTTGAGTGCTCTACAAAAAAGTCAACAGCGACGACTCTCAAAAACCGTTGTGTAAAAAGTTTTACCGTTGGACAAAAAAGTATATATAGAAAACAAAAAACGTTTATAGTTCATTCAATATTTGAGATGGAACGGTTTTCCAACGGTAACTATTAAATAAAATAAAAAAATAGAGGGGGTTACCGTTGACGAAAACGGTTTATTTTAAACTTTTCTATGAGTAGTCCGAAAAAAACAGTTCATTTTTCTAATGTACGCGTCTCGAACAGTGAAGCCCAATTCAATAGAATACTATCTCGAAAAACAAGAAGCTGACACTGCTATTCAGTCTTTAATACAGAACCAAGCTCAGGAGAACTCAAAAGACTCCCAATTCAAATCGACATCCAATTCGAAGCAATTAAAACTTGACACGAATGTTTTAAAACCACAGCCCGCACGAACAAATACAGCTCTAAGAATAGACCAAAGAATACCGAACAAAGAGTTGAGGTCAAGATTGAAATTACAATCGGATGAGTATTTTTCCCTTAACAACCAGGGAAATACTCCATATAACCGTATCTACACAAATACCGTTAAAGAAACAATAACGGCATACACAAAACTCTGTCAATTGGTCCCCAACCAGGACCAATTGACGGACATTATATGTTCCTACCTTCCCATATTTGCTGAGTGTGTGGAAGGTAGGACATTGTTACAAGCTTGCTTACGTATGCCACCAAATCTCCGTCAACAATTTGCTCAAATTGTACATGAATTTAAAGCTTTTAACAACGGATACGATGAAGATGAAGTAGCAGATGAATTTGGGGAAGAAAAAACATTTTTCCCCTCATATAATACGCCTGCAACAGTATTTCCTACTAATGAATTTCACAACTATTGTGTCGTTCATTTAATTGTTGTGGATATGCCCACAGGTGAAGACATTCTCAGTGGTGACTTCATCGAAGTCTGTATCAATACAGAATTGGGAGAAGATGAGTTGCACAAATTCTCCTACGTCGAACATATATTCAAACCAGCACACCAACTCTTTATCGAAACTGAAATAACACTCACACAAAATATGTCCATCTCATTTAAATCCAAATCAGGACGTCCATACAGAATTTGGATGAACTACGTCCTCCTCCACTACGCCGACGATGACGAAGAAGAGGAAGAAGAGGAGGAGGAAGAAGAAGAGTCCTCCGAATTCACACCAGAAGACTAACAATTTTCCGAATAAAAACTTCATTTATACTAAACATCTTCGGGGCTAGAAGGGGCGCAGCCCCTGGAAGCCCCACTACCTTTTTTTTTTTTTTTTTTTTTTTTTTTAACTATGGTATGAATTTCATAATCACTAAAGAAAGAATATTAAAGACAGGTATTTATCCATTATTTACCTTTACGTTGATATCAACACAAAGAAAACAACGAAGATTAACTATTTTTCAGAATAAGGAAGAGCAGTTTATCACTGATTGTAATTTGCATCATAAATAATAACAATTTCATTTGATTGCAAAGTGGAGTGTTGTTTCTCCTCTTTTACTTTTAATCATTGATATCAGCATCACGAGAAATAAGATGTTGAAGCATTAAAAGGTACATAAAATTGAGAGAAGCTTGTCTTTTATTGTTTTTTTTTCTTCCTTGAGATTTGAAGCATGAAAAATAAGAATTTCATAGTTACTTGATTTCATAGTGATAATTCATATCTCCGCTTTTGATTGCTTGAGTTGATATTTTAAGAACTTTATATGTTTAATTTTATCAATCCTTTGAACTGACATCAGCACCATTTGACATTAGAAGTTCTATTAATTCGTTTTGTTCTGTTGATTCTGCATAATATAGAGCTGTTCTTCCATCTTTATCTTTTTTATTGACATTGACTCCTTTTGATATTAATAACTCTGCTAATTCTTTGCTATTAAATAAAACAGCATAATGAAGCAAAGTTATCCCAGAAAATTTTATATTAACATCAGAACAATGCGATAAGAAAATTTCAATCATTTCTTTGTTTCGTTCTACTATTGCAGCAGTAAAAGGAGCTATACCATTAATATTAAACTCTGCAATATCAGCCCCATGTGAAAGCAACAAATCAGCAGTTTCCAAACTATTAAATTCTACTGCATTAAAAAGAGGAGTAATCGTATTATAATAACTAAGTGCATCTATATTTGAACCATGAGAAATAAGGATTTCTGCTATCTCTTTGCAATTATATTGTGCTGCAAAGTGTAGAGGAATTCTTGAGTGAATTTCTTCTTTTTCATTAACATCAGCACCATGATTCAGAAAATATTCACAAATGGAAGGAATATTAAAACCTGATGAATAAATAAAACATTTTTTGATATCTTGTGTTTCATTTAAATATATTAATAATGCTTGTAAATTATTGTATTGACAACAACTATCTAAATTAATTTTTAGATCATATTCATTCTTCAAATAAGTAATGAAATCAATATTGTGCAGGATAATTGCATACTCCATGCAATCTTGATCTGGTTTTAGAAATTTCAAACATTCATTAATGATTGCTGGATTTCCACCTAAGAAAGAACGTTCGAGATCTCTTAAATACATTTTCGAATTGTATTTTGATCTCAGAAACTTAAAACAATTTACAGATCCATAATAACAATATAATTCAAGTAAAGTATTATATACTGAAAATATTTCTGGATAAAAAATGAAATACTCTTTTTCTAACATTTGATTTGCATCAAATCCATCCCTTGATGCGTATGATATAAACAATTCTTTGTCATCATCCATAATTGCTCTATAAATAGAACCTTTTTCATATACATCCAATGAATAATTTTGAGATTTATATTTTTCAATTATTGATCTGTGTTTTTCATTAATGATAATGCCATATTCTTTATAGAAAAAGTAGCCAAAAAGATCTGAAATGCCAAATAATGACATTGGTTTGAATTCTTCATATATCATTTTGAAAAGGATCCAATATGACTTTAAGTAGCGATTATGATATAAAGATACTTTTTGGATAATATTAAGAATCTTGTATGGCGCTAATATTTTAGTTTCGATTAATTCTCTTTTTATATCATTGTAAATATTGCTTATAGTAGCTTCATCATGCGTATGCACGTTGTATAATTCATAAATAACATTATTATATCCTTTGCTTATCTCCATTAGGTCATTATAGTAACTTGCCTGTTCCATCTCAAATTTAAATTTACCAGCCGACCATGTAAAAGTTCTCAATTTATGTCAACTTCATGGCATCCTACAGGGACACAGATTTATTATTTCCCGTTAATACCATAGGCAATATGGTATGATAAGAGTAGATAAAGCTATCATCTGCTAGTATATGAGTTCTTCAGTCGACAGAATTTATAGAAATGATAAAATCTTTGAAACAAGTTTGTGAAATTTCCTCAAATGTATATAATAAAAAGTTTCGATTAGCTAATTGCTGCTATTGCAATTTTAATCCATCAGCTACTATGCTTTTAAATAGTAGCATTACCTTTTCGCGTTTGTGATTCTAGGAAAATAATTCTTAATTTCGACATCGAGAGTTTAAAATGAATCTTACGATTGTTTACCATATAATATCAGGGGTTTTAAAATAGTGTGCAAGCTCAATTTCACTTCGAAAAATCAAAAATTGATTTAGAACATGTTTTCATGCAATTAAGGATAATTCATTACTTAGTTATCTCCTCTATACTATTTATACATTATAAAAAAACATTAAATATGAATGATGCATTAGATCTTCGAGATAGCGGATTAAACAAAATGCATGCAAGTGATTATTCTGGAGCTATAGAAGATTTTACGAAAGCAATCGGCACAGATGATCCAGAAACAGATGAAGAAGCAGTTTTAAAATCAATTTGCTTATTACATCGTTCAACATGCAATCTAATGCTAAACAAAGTAGGAGATGCATTTGAAGATGCTTCTTATGCAGTTTATATGTTTAAAATTCGTCGTCCAAAATTTAAATTATCTGACCAATTCGAATCATCAGATCCACTCATTACAACATATCTGCTTGCCGAAAAGACAAAAGCAGAAATCTATCAATTAATTAGAGATCTTAAATCTTCAATCCAATCTTATACAATTTACGGAATCTTATCAAAATCAGATCCTACCAGCCTTATGGATGGGGTATATGCCAAACTTGGATTCCCGAAAATAGAAGGAAATGATCCAGAACTTGAAATTTTTACAAAAATTTATTCTTCATTATCAACAGAGAAACAAATTTTATTAGTACTAAGCGATATAATTACAGTATTTCAGGAAGAAGTATCACCTTCTTTTATCGAAAAGGTTCGTTCTCAAGGCTGCTACGTCTTTTTATTCGGAATTACATATTTATTCATAGATTGTCCAGTAGTTTTGCAGGCTTGCTTATGTATATTAAGAAACATGGCAGAACTCGGAATTTCAGAGATTTTTGATGGACTTATAGTTTTAAGAAATATTATCGAGCATTATCAAACAAATAATGAAATGATGGGTGCACTTTTGCTCCTCCTTAAGTTAGCACCCGATTCTGCTGTCCAACAGTTCGAAATTGAAGATTTTGTCCGACCAATAATGAAAATGTTGACATTAAAGCTAACTCCTGAAGAATACGATGCAGCATTTTATCTGCTATTCAGATCAATTAAAATACCATATAATTACAAAGCTGCAAGCGAATTAAAATTAATTGATGCAATAATTGCAATTGCAACCAAGTCTTCGATTGTATTATTATCAAAACTATTATGTAATGATGAATTATGTGTAGAATCCCAGATAAAAGGCGCAATTCCATTTTGTATTGCAGTTATTAAAAAAGTTAGTGATGTTTCATTGATTACAACATCATTAATCTGCATAGCAAAGATCCTATTACTTGATATTCCTGATAACAAGAGGTTTTACGCTCAAATTATCACTTCAATTATTCCGATCGTTGTAAAAAACTCAAAACCACCAGGAATTGTATCAAACGCATTCGCATGCTTAACAATATGCGTTGACGGTGCTTCTGATGCTATTAAAGAGTCCAAAGCTGTTAGAGCAGCATCAGTAATTTTGAGTTTATATTCACATGACATAGAAATTGCGAAAAACATTGTTTCCTTCTTTTACGCGGCATCTCTTTGCGGATTGGCTGATGAGATAAATGCTAATCCTGCAGCATTGAACACTATTTTGTCTGTTGTTACAGAGTTCATTGCAGAAAAAGATGTCGCAGTTAAAGGAATCGCAACTGCAATTTATTGCAATCATCCAATGAAGATAAAATTGGCAACAATTGGTTTGAAGACGTATAAGGATTCTCCTGTATTGATATCTGCTGTAGCCTCTATTCAAGATGAACTTAGAAGTTCTTTGAAATGAACTTTGTTTTTGTATTATTTTTGTAAAAATTTTCCTTTTTTTAGAGTTTTATCAATATTGCTGTCTTTCATAAGATTACAATTTGAAAAAATGCGTAGATGACATTTGTTAGAGAATTGACATCGATTATAGGTTCTATATATGATTGCTTTTTTTACAAACAGTGTATATCCATTTTATGGTAGTATACTTTACTTCTTATACATATTTAACATGCATTAGTTACTGCTTTTCTTACAGTAAATTTGCTCGATATTCACTAACCTTTTTCAAGCTAATACAACAAAATTCAAGGTAATATTAACATTCTACTTGCTTTATAGAAACATCATTTATCCATAAAACTTATCACAAGCCTGTAATATCATTTTCAAGCAAAAATAAACAATCTTTTTCTGTTCCAAATTTCTATATATAAATTTGCGAGAAAAGTGTAAATGCTTAAATGGAAGCAAGGTTACAATTAATGTTTATCATTCAATGAACATTAATCTATTTATAGAAATCACTTACGTGACAAATATATATCTGGCTATTAACCAAAGAAAGAATGATTACCAGGATATGCCTATGGACAAATTTACTTTTTTTATAATTTTCCAAGAGAAATTGAATAAAAATAGAGATTAGATACTAAAATATAACGATAATATAGCATGAATATTCTTTGAAAAGCAATTAACTAGAACAAGCGAGACCTCATGTATTAGTTGCATTAACTGTTATAAGTTTTTACACAGTATTGATGGCTATAGCTGATGATTTTTGATATCACAAATTTTGGAAAATTATAAGGGACTTTGTCAAAAGTAGTATATGAGTGCGGGTTGTGTGACTTTTTTTGTAACCATATGAATTCACAACAATATTGAACGATTTTGTAAATTCATATGTAACCATATGAATTCACACAATATTGAACGATTTTGTAAATTCATATGTAACCATATGAATCCACAACAATATTGAACGATTTTGTAAATTCATTTGTAACCATATGAATTCACACAATATTGAACGATTTTGTAAATTCATTTGTAACCATATGAATTCACAACAATATTGAACGATTAATTAAACATTGTTTAAATCCTGAATGGAATCAATGAAGTCATAATCAAAGACCTCATAAACGAGAAAAAAGAAAGAAAGAAACTTTAAAAATTCATGTCTTACATTTTTTGAATAATTTATTTTTTGTTTTGTATGAAATGAGCGTCAAAACTAACGATGTTAAAAATTTAGGATTCACAAACGAGGAAATAAAGGATATATTAGAGGAGGCGAGTTATGAAGTTGATAAATATTATTTAAGAAATTGTAAAAAATTTGCCGAGTTTTTAAATGAATTTGGTTATGATGGAAAAATGAATAAAGATGATTTATAATTTCTTATATCCCACATCTAAAAAAGAAGAAAAACCTAAAGAACCTGATGTTTTCCCTGAATATTATGAAGAACGGATTAAAGATGATGAATATAATGAAATTGAAAGACTGGAAAAAATAAGAGATGAAATAGATGAAAAAATTAAGGAATTAAGAGAAGTTGAAAAATATAATGAAAATGAAGTAGAGGGTTTAATGAATATCCCAGCTTCAGAATCAGAAGTTCAGAAATCTCATGAAGAAAGATATAAAAATTATGTCTCGGAATCAACACAAAATTTATTAGATAATGAAATAGACGAAACACTTTCTGATGAAGGTACTAAATTTATTCGTAAACATAAGTTACAATTTATTGATAATGAAGAATACCCTTGTATCTTACTTTCACCCCCTCTCGATTCCGAAAAATTCAAAAAAGCTCTTAAAAACGTGACATATGCAACTAATACAATTAAGAAAGAAGATCATGATATTTACACAAATTATTATTTAAATAAATGCACAGGTGTTGATAAAGTTTTTGATTTATTAGATAAAATATCAAAAGAAACCATTGGAACATATAAAATTTTATGTGATTGTGGTTTCATTATTGAAGATACCAATAATGTTTCATATGAAAGAACAGCACCGAAGGAAGACGAAGTTGAAAGGTCTATACCATTCGTTATTAAGAACATAAAAGATATGAAAACGTATAAACATTATATTTATTCATTTATTTCAGAAAAAATGGAAGCAACCCATAAAACATCTTCTCATCATTTTATAGCTATTCATACATTCCTTTTCAAAGTTGTGAAATTAAATAAGACAGGAATTAGATTTAATGTATCAGGGTACGCATTCTTGAGTAAATTAAAATGTATTCGTCACGTCGCAGATGATAAAAATTTATGTGTTCTTAATTCATTTTACGGACTTTAAAAAATAAACTTTATTTTTATTTATTTTTTTTCTTACAAATGTTCAAACTAGTATGAATTCTCATAATAGCTAGTTAATGAGTCCTCGTATTCTTCTGTGCATTCATTCACTCCATCTAAATCAGAAGCTTGAAGCATACGTGTAAAGAATATGTCGCCCACTGTGGTCATCGCTTGATCGGGGAAGTTTCTGGAATCTATAGTGACCTGAAGACCTCGAAGCATTGGATTTTCTAAAACCGTTCTTTGCATTGCATTCTTCGGAAATGTTAACACAACATCTGTAACATTATGAAGAGCGTATGAGAAATCTGAGCTAATACCTTCTGGAGTGATGCAACCTCCATTTAGTGAACGAACGTCAATATGTTGAGCTGGAATCATGAATGGATCTTCCTTACTAAATAAACGTGGTATTGCTTTAACTGATTCTTCAATTAAACCGTATCCTGGTGTAATACATTTATCCTCTAAAACTTCCATCTTTGTGCATGAAATAATAACGTCATCAACTGTTGCGTCAGCAGATGTAGCGGCTAAGGCTGTAATTAATTTGGCAGGAAGTCCGATTTGTTGGAATTTGCGATCATATTTATAAACATGATTCATAATCTTTTCATAATTTTCATCAGTTATCTTTTCATAAACGTAATTTTGTAAATCAGCAACTCTTAACGGGTCAACCTGACAAAATACTAAAGTATCCCTGAAAACATAATATTTAAGAATGATATCACCAAATGATTTAGGATAATCATCGAACGCCTGAAATGCTAACAAATCATTTACCGGAATAATCATATCAAAAGTGATATCAACTTCTTTATTTGCGTTCTTGAAAACTTCAGAAGGGTCAATATATTTACCACATACTGAGTTATCATATTTTTGAACATTATTATATAACGAATGAACAAACTTTTTAACTTTCCTTTCTGATTTTGGTTTATATGTTGCAAATGCGAAAGATTCACGGGCGCAATCCATTTGAAGATAACCGGCATCACCTCTTTCAGTTTCTACTTCTAATTGTTTAAAGCTTTGATTTGATGATTTGTAACCAACGAATAAACGCATGCATTTAAAAGCGGCATCACATGTGAAAGCTTTATTTGAAACTAGAGTTGCTTTAACTTTGCGTTTAATATATGTGTCACCTAATTGGTTCACATCATGAGCTGGATTTGTAATTCTTAAATGAGTTTGTTTATCATCAAAATATGGAGCATCAGAGTCATAGCATGAACTTTCAAGTTCTCTATAATATCTTCTACCGTCATTCTTTGCGAATATTTCTTTTATCTTTTCGAATGAATGAAATACATTTCCATTAATTGGTTTAGTGTTTGGCACTAAATAGTTAGTCGTCATTTATTAATAAATAAAAAAATCAAAATTAAAAGATGGAAATGAATTTTTAATTTTAATGAAATAATCAACTATGGCTGCAGGTATATTTAAGAAACTGTGGGATAGAGTAAAAAGAGGAGCGAGTAAAGTTTGGGAAACATTGAAGAAGGGGGCAAATTGGATATTTAAGAATAAAGAAGCAATTAGTGACGTTGCTGAATCAATAACGCCAAAAGCTGCCCCAATAAGAGAAATTTTAAATAAAGGAGAAAAAGTTTATCAAAGACTACAACCAATACTAAGATAAAAATAATATTTATTTTTCCACTATCTACCCCCTATTTTATTAAGTATTCCTTCAGCTATTCCACCAATTGCGTTACCTGCTTGTGCTCCCATCGCCGGATTACCTGCTTTAGTACCTAATACCCCACCTATGATAGTTCCTGCCGTTTTCGCTACTGGTGCCAAAAAGTTTGCAACAGGTTTAATAACCTTTTTATAAACCCAACCCGCAGCTTTCTTAATTCCATCCCATAATTTTTTAAAGAATCCTGCCGCCATTTCTGATTTAATATTAATTAAAAAACATATTTCATCACTTATATTCTAATTTTTATTTAATGATAAATGAAACCGATGTTAAAAATAAATGAAACAGAGGAGGAAGAAATAAATGAAAGTAAAAATGTTCAACAAAAAATAAACATTGTTAAACCAATTACTGAAATAAAAATTTTTTCATCTGTTGAAGAATTTAATGACTATTAAAAAAAAAAAAAAAGGTAGTGGGGCTTCCAGGCACTTCGTGCCCTCTAGCCCTGAAGATGTTTAGTATAACTTTGTCCGGACAAGTAAGGGTCTATCGTCGCTACAGGAAAAGTTACAGGCGTTCCAAGGAAGTAAACTTTGAGAAGCCTTTTCTCCCTTATAGAATGAGATAGGACGGTTATTTTACAAAACTGACAACACTTTGACCGAGTAGTTTTTTGTGCTGAACAAAAAGTGTCATATAAACATCTGTCAAAAACAGTTTTTTACTTCACTTAAAATGCCACGTAAGCTACGTAAGAATATACGTAAGAGGAAGGGAGCATTGAAACATCCAATAGTAAAACTGACACCACAACAACAGTTGCAACAACAAATTATGAATGACCCCACTATGTTGCAACAAATGTCAAGCAACCCTATGCTTTTAAGCCGAGTTATTGGTGCACAGAGTGGAGGTTTAAGAGCGGCACTTTTAGCGAAAATGGCAGGCTATGGTGGAGCTGCAGACGGAACAGCTTATAACCCTCAAAGTCAAATGAATTTGAGTTCACTCAAAAAATCAAATAACAGATGTCAAAAAGTCAAACATAGACATACAGAAACAAATAAGTGAAAACGAAAAGAAACTAGAATATGACAGACACACAAAGAAACTCAATGAGTTAAACGTAGAGAAAAAGAAGAAAGAAGAACAACTGAAAGAACTAAGTACAGAGGAATATGCGAAAAAAGTGTCAGAAAAAGCAGCAGAAGTAGCAAAAATGGAACAAGATGTTATAAATTTGAAAAACCATACTACTCAATATAAAGTACTGAAAGATGAAGAAATAAAACAAAAAGCCCTGAAGACATATATGGATAGCGATGAGTATAAAAAGAAGTTGAAGCAAATGTAAAGGCAGAAAAACTTTTACAGTTGCAAAACCAAACCGTACAGTATGAAAACTTAGCACAAGAAAGTAAAAATAACGACGCAGCCATGCAAAAGGCAATGAAAAGCGCAGAATATATAAAAGCTAATAATGACTGGTTAGATGCCCAAGCCAACGCCAAAGCAGCCCAACTTATAGGGTCAATAAGGACAAAAATACAAGCGGATGAAGACAGTTCAAATGAAGCTTTAATGAATGCTGACTTTAAGAACGCCTTCGAAGCTCTTCATAGTAAGGTGAAACTAGTGAACGACTTCTCATCTGGAAAGAAACTGAAGTCTGAAGGTTTCGACAAAGAGTTAAGAGAAGTAGCACAAAATATGACGAAAATAACAGATGCAGCAACGAGACAGGCAGTTCAAAGTGCCTATGACGCCGTTAGAGCAACTGTTGTGGAAAGTCAAGAAAAAGAGTTACAACAGACTAAAACAGACCTAGTAAATGCTTTCTTAAAAACGAAAAGTCAGGTAGGACATTATGCTGCAGATGGAACATATGTGCCAGCTGGTGGAACTTATATACCACCAAACCCTCCAAGAGAAGCACCTGCACCAGGACTACCTAAAACATTTACATCGTCACATGGACACAGACACAGGCATGCACCAAAACCAACAGTTCAAAACACTGCACAACAACCAACAGTTCAAAACACTGCACCACAACCAACAGTTCAAAACACTGCACCACAACCAACAGTTCAAAACACTGCACCACAACCAACAGTTCAAAACACTGCACCACAACCAACAGTTCAAAACACTGCACCACAACAACCACAAACAGAGCAAGGACATAAAAGAAGTAGAGAACAAGGAAACCAAGAATTCTTAAAAATGCTTAAGGAAAATTATGGTTACCCAGATACTCTTGACTTTAGTGACAGATATAAAGAAGCTATTAGAAAGTTCAAGGAAGGAAATACTGACCCGAACCTATTTAGCTTTATGGTTCAGCACCAAATGGGATATAATTTCAAACCTGGAAATACAAGCTCGCTAAGGGATATGATTTAATAGCATATCATCCAAATGACATGGATGAATTTACTCCGAGATATTTGGTGCAGAGATAAATGATAATTCAACTATCTTCATGAAACGCGTAAAAAATAGAGACGGAAACGAAAAAAAGAAAGTTTATGAGTCCGGATGACTTAGATAGGGAACTTTTTAAAAACGGTCTCGGAATATATGAAATGCCAGCAGATGAGGTACAAGAAACTCCACAGGAAGAAGTTCAGATACAACCAGACATGGAAGAAATAGTTCAGCAACAACAGCTAGAAGAGCCAGAAGGAAAACGAACAAGTCCCTCCTTTGGAAACTAACTTCACAGAACTAGATGAAGATTTGGAACAGCCGAAAAATCTTGACCCTCAACAAGTGTATGCGGAGAATATGGAATCTTTCCAAAGTCTAAGAAAATTCAGCTGACATAGTAGAAGAATATCGAAAAATGTTCGCCGACATACAAAAGACTCCAACATCAGATGAAAATATTCAGCATAGAATGGAAGAACTGAAAAGAAAGTGTACGCAATACAACAATCCTTTTTACTTACGACCATATAAACGTTCAACTTTGGCTGAACTCGGTGAAAATAAAAGGTTAAATTTCACCAAAACATATAGAAATGAAACATTGTTTAAAAGTTCATTCAGAAACCTAACCAATATGGAAACAAACCTACTTTTGTTTCTGCAGACTATGGAACTACAATGAGATGGGGTCATAAAGCTAATCCGGATAGGTGGTTCATAAACTTACAACCACAATTCCAAGAAGTTGTAGACGCAATGGAAGTGAATGGGTGAACCAGATATAGCTGGTATTTTCAGCGCGGCTTTAATGCCATTGAAAGATATGAAAGATGCAGATATTTTGAACCAGTATGAAATGAACATGGCTGATGGAAATATAACACCTGACGTTCTAGAACATTTATCTCAAAGAACTACACAGAACATAGAGATGGTATATTTGGTGAAGAGTTTAGAAAGAAAGTTAGGGAGAGAAGGAAGAGAACCTATTGTACATGACCTTGCAAACGAAAGTTTACAAAATGTCATAAAAACTTACTTTGCAGACAATGAACTGAGAAGGGATGAATATTTAAGAAAACTCAAATGGACAGTACCAAATGAAATGTTAGTATTGAAAAACATGTTCCTTGACAAAATAAAACCAACTACAGAAATAAATGACGCAAGACTGAAACATTGGTAAACTTTCCCATTCACAAAGATATTATTGGTAACATGGAAAGAAAACCAGAATGGCTACAAAAACATATATTGGAAACGAGCTTATTCCATATGGACAAGCTCTGTTTGAAGAGCTTGAACCGGAAACTCAGGAAAGAGTCATGCAAACAATACGCGAAGACTCAAATACAAACTATGACGAAATCTTCTCTAGGATATAGGTTACCTGAGATGGGCGACCAGAGCCAAAGGCAAAAAGGACATGGGAAATTTACAACATACTAGGTGAACATGAGGCAAAGATGCAACAACTTGAAGCAGAGGGCAAGTTACCAAAAGCGACACCAAAGAAGAAAGGAAGAGTAGAACAAAGTGAAAGTAGTGAAGAAGTAAACTTCATCTAGTGAAAGTAGTGGCAATGAAGGAAAAAGAAGAAGTTAAAAACTCAGTCAGGAAGAAAGTAAAGCTTGGTCCGAGTGGGTTCTATTATGACACATAAATCCAACTATTCTATATTTTTACCCATATGAAATGTACGCCGCTCAGAATATAACGCCAACAGTTTTGGATGCCATGAACGGGAAATGTTTCCGAATGGTATAACGAATGCGACAATGCCATTAGAAGGTCAGAAATAGTTCCTGGAACTTACGAATATACAACTGCTGTTTCTTATGGAAACGTAGGTGAGTTTGGAGAAGGTTCTTCAACAACAGTAGATATTGCTTGCGACAGGTTTCATATTATTTCTATTGACAACTCATTCTTATACGTGGAACAAGACATTGAAATAAAACCTTCTGCCAAGTTGTCTGACAAGAAAGGTTGCAATGGAATTTTCTATGTCGGATACCAATATGCTCCAGAAGTTTTCATGGGATATAAGATATATTCTAACTCTGACTTAGTTCAAACAGTAACATGGGCAAACTATGAATGGTTCGCTTTGAGAAACTCAGTACAACCACAAGCTAGAGAACAAACAGACCAGTATGCAAATATTGAGAAAATAAGAAGACTTGACCCTAACGTTCCAGGAGTTTATGTTAACCTTTCTGGACAAACTGCAGCAGCAGTAACCAAAGTAAAACTGAAACTTAGAGTTCCTTTGTCATCTTTCCTCATCTTCAGGTTTTTAAGATACTTGCCAAACTGGGCAGGAAAAATTTCTATCGAACTTACTCCAAGCAAAAATAACTTAGTCATTGCACCAACACAAGACCCATTCACTATTACAGACGTAAAGGGAACAAATCAAACGTCATTCGCCGAATTTTGCAAAGACAAAGTTGACTTAGACTTTGGTTTCTCAAACTTCAACAATGAAGTAAACTATTATTTCAATGCTGCTGGAACTGCTTGGGACCCAGTTAAGTTCACATGCGAAAAATTTGAATGCAAGAGAATAGAAAGCAGACTTGCAGTCTATATGTTGGACCCAGATATTTCAAATGCTTTAGCTGCCAAATATATTGCAGTTCCACTTATGTTCCCTATACACCAAATATCTGTCAAAGACTTTGCAGGTGAAGTTGGAAACCAAAGTGCTGACCCAGGTGCAAGAACAGATATTGCTTTAACAACTGCAATGAAACATGCAGATACTATGTTTGTACTGTTCAGACGAACTATAAATGACTATTCTTGTTTCTACAACCCCGGTATTAAATATCATATAAACATAGATGGCAAATATTATCCAAGAGAAGAATATTCTACAGTTGAGGATATGAGGTCATACAACTTGACATTAGATGCTATGAACTTTAACAACAACTTCACAACAACCATTAACCCTGAAATGCAAAGTTCTATTATGCCATATGTGAAAGTATGGACTCATACAGGAGGTCAAAAAACTCAATATACAAATGGAGACCGTTCAAACTTTTGGCTTGGCATTCCATTTGCTGACTCAGAAGACTTTATGGGTGGTATTTCAACTGTTGGTACTGTACAAATACAATATACTGGTGACAGAGACGGTCCAGATGAACTGAGAGCAAAGAAGTTTACAAAACCAATAGCACTTTTCACGGAAGATGCTCTTTTGAAGATTCGTTCGATGAAACCTGCTGGGGCTCCTCAGATTGGCATAACGACAGCTTCCATCGAGCAGATTTTGGCAGCAGGTCAGTAAGTTGTTCTTGAACTGACTTCTCTCCGTCAAATATTGACAGTACGCCAGTTTTGACATAATATTGTAAGATAAACTTTCCTTTAGAAATATCTGTAAGTTTTGTTGTTATATTTTTGTCAACGTCAAGAACTTTCACCATCTCGGTTATACCAACTTTCTTTGCTTTATGAAAATATTTAGGTTCAGCAAAGACTGCTATTCTATAACATTTACCATTGTTTGTATAAAGAACTATTCTGTCAATGTATTTGTATTGTTTGTGTGTGTAAACTTTGTTCTGCTTCAATTCGAAGAGATACTCGAATACGTCCATCTTTTTTTCTAAGTAAAATGTCATTTCCGAAAAATAGAAGCGTAAGTGTTTCAAAAGGTTTAATGGCGGTGGCAGATGTGAAGTTAAATTCACCAACTCAAACAAACAGTCAAAGTGTTGTTGTCAATGTCAAAGACAGAGATGTTGAAGTGGGGAAACCATACGAAGACGAAGATGGTATAACAATTGTTCCTGTAAAAGAACAACCAACATATCCTGAAGTTAGCAGAGACTTAAGTTCTGTTGCAGATATTCGAAACGACTACCAACAACTGAAAGACAAACTTCAAACTCAGGAGAAGATTTGTCAAGCTTTAAGTATAATGTTAAACTTGGTCGAACACAACCCTGTAAAGTGAACTCATATGTCATTGCACCTCATGAAGTCTTGAAAGAACTATTGAAACTTTTGACAGAGGCAGACGATATAAACATCAAAGAAATAGAACCCGACATTAGTTGCTGTGGTGTTTCATATAATGTCATTGACAAGATATACGTTATGAAAGGAGGTGAAACGTTGAACTTAAAGTATAGTTTCCCAGACGTCATAAAAATATTTGACGACCACAACATTTCATTAAAATTTATTTGCTAAGTAAAAATGTCAAAACTTCTTGAAAGATGTTTGAAGAAAAATAATATAGACTTTATTTCATGTAAAGGACTTTACACACTTTTGAACGATATGAAAGACCCTGTTTTTGTTTGTTCGTGTAGACAAAGGAAAGTTCTATGTCTTTACAAAATATTTGAACTTCTTAGACAGAGAACTTCAAGAAACGCCATGTGAAAGTTTAGATGAAGTTCTTCTCCACTTTCAGAAAAACTTTTAAATATATATAAATGGCAGAAGATATAATGGTTTATACTATTACGACTAAAAACCCTGAGTCATATAATTCTATAACAACAAACTTACAAAGTCCTCAAGGACGATATTGTAAACTAACCTTAAACACAATGACGACTAAAGCCTGTTTTGCTCTTTTGACACCAGAAGACTTTATTGTTGTGAATGGTAAAAAATACTCCTTTGAAGATACTTACTCAGATATACCACCAACAGGTTTTGTTGACTTATTTAATACTTAAGTACGGGTGTAACATGTGCTGCAACTAGAGCAGGTTTCATTATGTTTGGATGTCCGACTGAGTTTACTATAAACGATATGAGCTATAATACAAAACTTATTTCTGGTTTTTACTACCAACAGTTTCCTATAACAGGAAAAAGTGTCATACAAGGAATGTCTATTCCATTGACATTAAGCACACCAATCTTATATATTGTTTCAAACTTAGGTTCAAAGTGTTATTCGAATGTCGACAGAAACTATTATGACCAAAAGATACTTATGCGTATAAACAATACTTTCTCTGCTGGTTTGCCTATTGTTCATTCGAATGCAGAATTTTCAACTTTAGTGAACTCAAACACTTTGGCAAGTATAACGTTGACATTAGTTGACGCAAACTTTGTTCCTGTAAAACTTTTATGTCCTATGTATTTGTCAATGACGGCAGAAAGTTTCGAATTGGAAGATGCAACTGGTGAAAGTATTGTATTACAAGAACAACTTCAACAACAAATAGCTCAAGAACAACAAATGCAACAAATGCAACAACAAAGTCAAGAATAAAAAAATATTTTTTTTATTTTTATAAAAATGTACAGAATAGATGTTTCAGATTTTTATGACTTCCAAGCATTCAGAAATATGTGTCCATTTAGAGACTATAACAAAGCAGTCGAGAATTTGAAACGTTTAGTCATTTATGTCGACTCTGCCCCAGAATGTTATGTCATGAAAGAATGGGATGTAGTCTTTAACAAACCTAAAGCGACAATAGTTTCAGAACAAGAATGTAGACAGAAACTTAAGAAAATAAAAGTCGTACAAGTTGGAATGAAGATGTTAGATGCTTGGGATATCTTATTGTCAAAGTTAGAAGATTTTTCAGTTCGAGGTATAAAGTTCTATACACCTTCTCCAAACTTCTATTCTATCTTCACTGGATATAAATACGAACAAGTAGAATGGAAAGAAAATATTATAGAAGCTTGGTTAGACCATGTCAAAGAAATTATATGCAATGGAAACGAAAGAGTCTATGAGTATATCTTATTTGGTTTGCAAACATCTTACAACATCCAAGTGCTAAAAATGAAACTGCTCTCATTATAATTGGAAAACAAGGAACAGGTAAGAACACATTCTTTACAGATGTCTTATGCAAACTGTTAGAAGGCTATTCGAACCCGAATATGACAAACTTAGAAAACATCTGTGGCAAGTTTAACTCCTCAATAGAGAATATGAAACTTATAGTATGTAACGAACTTCAAAGTATAGATACAACAAAAGTTTTAAACTCAGATGCTTTGAAGAGTCTTATAACAGATAAAGTTGGAGTTGTTGAAAGAAAATATAAAGACCAAAGAGTTTGTGAAAATGTTGCAAACTTCATTATGGTTTCAAACAATTCTGTTCCGATGAAGTTAGAAAGTTCTGACAGAAGATATGTAGTTGTCAGAACGTCAGAAGCTCATATGCAAGATACAGAATATTTTGACGACTTAGCAGAAACTTTGACATCTGACTTTTACAACCACTTGTTCTCATATTTATGACATTAGATATTTCAAAGTTCAATCCAAGACAAATTCCACATACCGAAGAGAGACAAACATTGTTAGAAGCAAACAAGAGTGTATATGAACTGTTCATAGATGAAACTGACTTTGAGTGTTTTAGATGAAAGGTCATTGTACGATTCGTATAAACAATATTGTCAAGAATATGGTTATATGACAGCGTCTAAACGAACATTCTTGGCAAATGTCAAAAGTCTTTTAGACGTACAGAATGGTGTATATACAAAGAAAAAATTTTTATGAGTAAATTTAAAAAAATATTTTTTTTATCCGATAGAAAAGATGGCAAAATTCATCTCAGTAAACAAGTACATGTCAGGACTTAAAGAAGAACTAGACCCATTCACATATTTGAATGTTTACTTCTACCATTTTGAAAAGTCTTCATTCAGCAAAGTTTGGAACATCGAACCAGTTAAGTTTGCTATTGTGACTAAAAATGGTGCGAAATTTGAAGACTTAGACATAGAAGGTTTGTTAGCAGTCAAAGAAAGTTTTGACAGAAGGTTTTCAAACCTTAAAGAAGGCAAAGCATACAAACTTGTTATACCTTATGAACCAAAGAAAGCAGACGACTATGAATATTATGAGTCTAAGATAGTTGAAGTTCAAGGTAAATTGGGTAAAAAGATTTTAGAGTCTAAGCCAGTGTTTACTCCTAAAGAGGAAGAGAACATTGACATTGACCCAGAAATGTTCTAAAAATAAAATTTTATTTTTACATGTCAAATTTCTTTTTTCTCTGGAACTGGTTCAGGTTCTTTCTTCTCTTCTTCTTTTTTCTCTTTCTTTTCTTTCTTCTTCTTTCTGGTGGAGTTATGTCAAATTTGGCGCAACTATATTTATGTAAAAGTTCTTTGTCCTTTAATAGCTCTTCTATTCTGTTTTCTATTTCATCTTCAAGAACAGCGCATGTGTCTTCTTTGCATTCTAAGAACTTTTGTTGGACTTCATCTTTCCAATCGGCGTCATCTCTGTCAACAAGTCTGTCATTGACAAATTTTAAGACTGCTCTGCTTAATGTTTTATGGTTCTTGTCATATTCCCAGAAACAGAACTTTAGAACAAATTCACCTTTCTTGTTTACACTATGTAAGATTTTATGGTCGACAGATGTTTTGCTGTCGAAAAGCTTGTCTCGAATATAGATAGCGAAATCGCTAGACATTTTCTAAAAGATAAAATTTTTAATTTTTCTAAAAATATGTTAGAAAAAAAGTTTGCTGACATTGACAAGAAATTTGAGAATGTTTTAAACAAGAACAAGAGGAAGTTAGAAAATGCTCAGATAAAGCCTATACATGACAAGTTCTTATTTGCTCAGAATGGTATAACAGGTCTAATTGCACCACCTGGGTCGGGTAAGACTTTCACTTATCTTAAAATGGCTGCACAACAACAAGAACTAGATGAGAAGAACCCATTCTATGAGTTAGTTGTCATTTGTAGTACTTCTGGTCAATTTGACCAAACCGTCAATTCGTTCAAAGATATTATAAAGAAGTCTAAGTTAGTATGTATAAAAGACTCTGAGTTGTTAGATTGGATAAAGAAGTACCAAAGAAGAGTTTTGAAGTATAATGCTATAAATGAGTATATAAATTCTAAGTTTAAAGACCCAAATGAGGAAATGCAGAGAATATTAGACAAACACCACTTCAGAAACAAACAGAAAGAGATAGAATACATTTCGAAGAAATTGCAATCTTACGATTGGAAGACATACCCTCATAGGTGTCTTCTTATCTTAGATGACTTTGCTTCTCATCCTTTGTTAAAGAATAGAGAACAAGATATGTGTCGAATTCTTAAGAAACTTAGGCACTTTAACATCTCAGTCGTAATATGTGTACAGACAGCAAAGAGTTTAAGTAAGGATGTTAAAAGAATACTTACTGACATTATACTTTTCCCCGGATTGTCCGAAGACGATTTCATGGAACTTATGAAAGAGTCCATGGCAGGTAAGTTTGACAGATATGAACTATGGGAGAAGTATAAAGTCATACAAGACCCTCATACTTCTTTCAGAATTCATATCTACGCAAACAAAGTTCAAATTGTAAAAAGTCAAGCTTGAAAAATAAAGAGTTCATTTACCCTACTTGTTTGAAGTTGTCAAAATACTCTGTTATTTTTCACTGTTTTCATGAGTTTTAGGCGACCCAGATAAAAGTCGGTCTCGCTGTTCTTCACTGTTTTCATAGAGTTTTGGCGACTAAGGTTTCTTACCTACTCGCTGTTCTTCACTGTTTTCATAGAGTTTTGGCGACTAAGTTTTTTTACGTACTCGCTGTTCTTCACTGTTTTCATAGAGTTTTGGCGACTAAGGTTTTCCGAGGGAAGCAAGCATATGCCATTTTACTCAGAATTTTGTTGCTGAATTCAGCAAAAATAATGTTTAGGGTAGAAGGTTAGATCTAACCTCTTTTCTACCCTCTTTTCTCACCTCATGAATTTTCATGATTTCAGTTAGTATGGTTATGTTGGGTACGGCGGCACTGCGTTCCACCTTACCCAATACTTGTGAATTTGACACTTTACGAAACCGTTAACGTATATTTTACAACACAAACGACAACACTAACTCAACCTTAAATATTTACAAAGCCGCCAACCACTTCACTAACGAACTCACTAATGTAAAAATAAACGTTCTCACTATCGTTCTCACTAACAACTTCACTAATGTTCTCATAAATTTTCCTCAATATCTTCATCATCAGTGTTAACCCTATTGTAGTCATACTTGAAGCCATAAACTTTCTCTAACTTCTTAACGTACAATTTACATAACTTACCTTCGTCATCGTATGGTTTAATGATATAACTATTTCTATCTTTATACACAGTCAATGAAAAGTCAACTGGTCTCGGATGTATTTGAAAGAACATGTTATGCTCAGGAAGGAAGAATAAATGTTTAAATGTATGTTTGTTATATGTTTTGATTTGTATGAGTTGCTTTTGTTCTGTCATTACATCCAAATAAAATAAAAATAATTTTAAAAAATAAACTTAAAAATTAATGATATCACCACCCTCACACGTATGAAAACATAGCACAAAAATAAATTTAGGTGAAGTGGTGAAATCTCACCTCTTTTTTCACCTCTTTTTTCACCCACTTGAATTCATTACTTTATAACTCTCTTCCTTGGTTTCTTTTTAGTTGCTTTCTTCACGTCTGTCTCCAACTTGACTGTCTTTCTTCTTCGTCCGTAATGATACCAGTTACTTCCACCAGTCAATGGGTCAAATGGTCTTTCGTAAGGGTTTCCATACATTCCATAGGGACCATACGGAAGAACTACTGGTGGAGAAGAAACATTTTCTTTAGTTCCATCGACTCTATTTAAATGCATTGTTTCACCTTTCATCTGGTCATTAAAGTCTTTTGCATGTTTTGCAAACTCATCGTCCTTTCCTAAAGCATTTTCTGACTCAGTCGCAACCAAATTGGATGCTTTATTTATGAGCCCTATTTTATTTAATCTTAACTTCTTTGCAACCCAGCCTCCAATCTTCCCTTTATTTGCATCTAATGTCTTCGAAACCCTTCCTCCACTCATTTTATTTACTGCGTCATAAGCTCCAAGTGCTTTTGCTCCAAATGCTAATGCTTTTGTTCCCATTGCGCCTAAAGCTGCCCAAGCTACCATTTACACCATATTAAAATCATCTCTCTTCAATATTATCTCATAAAAGTTCTCTTTACTGGAGAAAGTCAATGAAACATAAGCGTTCTCACGGGCTTCGTCCTCGCCGCGTTGCGGCTTCATAAACTTCTTTCTTATCTCATCTATTCTCAATAAAATGTCTGAACAATTGCTAACATCTTCTACAACAGTTATTTCATCATGAATGACCTTTAAAAACAAGCTCATTTAATATGCTATTAAAATCATTTCAATAATGAGTCCATCCTTTCCATCTTTAGGTAGCACAACATCTTTCATTGAAGAAGGTTCGACAAGTCTTATGTTAAACTTACTGACAAAGTTTGTTATACTATAATGCTTCGGTGGCGAATACATGTAGTTTGAAAGACATAATATAGATTCTTCAGCAAATTCACTTATACTGGATTTTATAACAATGTTCTCACGAGACCAAATACCACCAATTGACAATCTTGTAAGCAATCCTGCTGAACCTTCTACTGTAAACGTCGATGGTAACATTCCACGAAGGTCATCTATTGACATCGTTGAGTCACTGAATTTAAATATTTTCTTAAAGCAATCGTCATTATCTAACCATGCAATAGCTTTGAAGTTTTCATTCGAATATACATCTGCTTCATTAAATGTAAAACCTGACTTCTTTGCAGAGACGACTTTAAAATCTATTGCATTTGTTTCAAAATTATATACTATGGTAACTTCTGAAGGTAATGGATGTCCTTCCGCAGTCAGTTGTTCTCTCACTACCGTTTGAAGCTTTGTGTTAAAAACTTTCATGTCATCTCCTGTGTCTAGGTTCACATACACAGCAACAGGAAAACTATCTTGCTTCTTTGTTTCATCATTATACCTCAAAACATTAAAGTTCTTCAATAATATTGTTCTTCCTGCTGGAATACTTCTAACTTGTCTTATTTCAATAGCTTTCTCACCTCCTACATACTCTACCCAGTGTCTTGGATATTCATAAGTATACTGACTTTCTTGAATTTTGGTAGGTTTCATCATAACGTGTTCATAGTATATCTTTATACTCTTGTCAGTTAGACTCGGTGCTATGTTCTGAATATTTCTGACTTGCATTTTTAATGAAGATAAAATGAAGCATTTAATACATGACGTAGATGAAGACATGAATGAAAGCAGTGAAAAGCTCAACAGTTCTCTCATTCTTCCTTTCAGTAAGGACTATGAGTTCTGTTCAAATGGTGTGTATTTCTATTGTGGAAAGATGGGTTCAGGTAAGACATTTAACCTCATTCGTCATATACTCATAACAGAGCGTTTAGGAAACGACTCATATTATGACCAAATCATTATATCAGCAACTTCAGACTCTATGGATTCAACAGCGAAAACATTTATGTCAAAAGTTCAAGCCTCTGTCGTTAAAGTTCCAGATAGCGAACTCATTGAATTTCTTCAACGTTACATTCGACGTAAGAGAAAATATTATGCTATTGTAGAGTTCATACAGTCAGGAATGCAAAAGACTTCAGAAGAGATGGAAAGAATTATTGACAAACACCACTTACGTCAATACTCAGGAGTTTACGATATGAAACGACTGACAAACTACATTCTATCAAAACTTTCAAAATACCCCTTCAAAAAATATCCTTCAAACACTCTGCTCGTTTGCGACGACTTCGCCGGAAAAGGTTTAGTGTCAAAGCCTGACTCACCATTAGCTAACATCATAACTAAAGTCAGACATTACCATTTAACTGTAGCAATACTTATGCAAACATGGAGGTTTTTAGCTTTAAACATAAAACGTCTCATAACTGACTTCGTTATCTTTCAAGGTTTCTCACGTTATGATATTGAACTCATTTGGAAACAGTCAGGTATAACATTACCTTTTGAAGAAATTTGGGAAGCATATAAGTCTCTCATCTCTCCTCGTTCATACCTTGAGATTCATATCATGACTAATACCATTAAAGTCAAAAATATTCCATGGGAACGACCAACATTGTTTTAAAGTTTAACCTTCAATTGACTGATGGTAAACAAATTCCATGCATCTCTGTCGCCATTTCTGTTAATATTTTTGCTGTCATTCATATCATCCACTTCCCCATCCGTTAGCTTTTGAGGATATGTGTTAGAATAGCTGTTCTTAAATGAAGGCTTTTCACCTTTGAGAGCATAAACTCTATAACTTTCTGCATACTTTATGTTTGAACCTCCTGAGCCATCATTGACATAAATTTTTATAGGCTTCCACCCTTTGTTCATATTCCTGCTTCTTCCCTTAGCTCTTTTGTTCAGTAGTTCTACATCTTTATACACAGCTCCTGTCTCAGTGAATTCAACAATATTTTCATTCGTTAGCTTTACATTCAAACCCTTGTCGAGTATATTGTTCATTTCATACATATAAAAGGTTTTTATTCTATATGAAATGAGAAGCAAATCCATCTTAGCTGGTGCCGTTAATGTTCCAATTGAACCAACATCAAATGTTGACTCACGAACGACAAACAATATTGTCATAAAGAACTATAGTTCGGAGTGTTTGAAAGAGCCAGAACCAGAACTTAAGTCGGGAGGGCTCAAAGAGCCCATCTTGGCGCATGGCGCCGTGAATTTAAACTCAGCTTCAAACGCTAACGCTACATCAGATGTTAAGTTAGAGTATCCACCACTGGACCAAGTTCTTTCAAGAGAAGCCAACGACAACCCTTACACAAATGTTCAAACAAATCCTTCAGATAACGTAGACCATTACCTTCTTCAGTTATACCAAACAATTTTACTCAAAGACGATAAGAAGCTTTTGACAAATCTTATAAGCAAGAACCAAATAATTCTAACAAAGGAGGACCTTGAAAATGTTATCTCACGAATAACAGGGAAACAATGTGTCATTGACTATCTCGACCCTGAAATCGAATGCTGTGGTCAAACTCCACTATTCATGAAAATAGGTAACATCCGCATCATTGAAACACCAGGAACTACAGGAGTTGAGTTTAAGTATAAATATTCGAACGAGTATACAAAACTATCTACTTACTATAAGCTTTGCTTGAAATATGTTTTAGTAAATTAAAGCAGTCAGGAGGGCTCTTTGAGCCCATCTTGGCGCTTTGCGCCGTCAGTCAAAAAAATTCAAGTTAGCAATTTGTAATATCTGTCCAAAACTTCTTCAACAGTATCGAACTCATCTTCATAATGCAAACCTAATCTTATTGACTTGGTGCAGTTTTCACTAACACAATATAGCGCTTTGCGCTCGGCGCCTTTGACGCCTTTTTCTGTTCTCTTGACTGACATAACTAACTCATTTGTTTCATCAAACAGCAACAACCAAAGTTCATGACCTAATACATAACATTCATACTTTATATTTTTAGCTCTGAGTTCTCTTGTAAGCTGTTGCATT